TCCTCTAGAGTGACCGTCAGCTCCCCGCAAGGTAGGTGGAAGGTGTGAGTCTCTGGACGCCACCGGTTCACGAGGGCCGTCAGAGCAGCGGTGTTGTACATAGGCACCGGTCACTGTGCCATGGTCACGAACGCCAAGAGCTTCGCCCGCCGTAGGTACGGGACGTACCGGTCATCGAATAGTATGTGTGCCGTGTGACCTCTGACTCGAAGGGTCTTCAGGCGCTGCATCAATAGACAAATATAATAACATATAGTTAGCGACAATATGGCATATACAAAGGTTGTGGAAACAAATTGAATAATGTTGGTGCTAACCTCTCCGCTCGCAATCTAGGGAGCCCGGTGCTTCTCCTCGTAGAAATCCTCTAACCCCAAAACGTGCTCCATCCTGCAAATGAAAATGGAATCATTAGTACTTCATACATTTGGAACATAATATATGTGCGATAAAATTTAAATGCAAACAACACAATGACAAAGGAATTTAGAACAACACAAATTAAACAATGAATTAGAAATAACAACTGAACACTTGTAATGCAAACTGAATTTACAACATCAAAAAATATGATTTTCATCCAATCCAACCTGTGTGCTACCCGCACCACCTCCCCCGGTCCTACGACGCTTTTTCGGTCGATCCTTAGACTTGTCTCGCTTCGGGCACCTAATTTTCTTATGGCCTAGTTCGTGGCATAGAGAACATCTATTTTGCATGACCGGCTCTGAATTTGTATTGTTCGGCTTTTGGGACCGTCGGTTGCCTGAACCTTTGTACGCTTTGTCCATGTCGTTCTTGAACCTTCTTGTCCTTCTTCTTCCTCGTGTGTTGTTCTTCAACAACAAGTCCGAAACGAAGAACTCTCCGTCATAACTTGGCCATTGCAATGGATCTAGGTAAGGTTCAAACCTTGAGGAGTATGTGTTCTGCACAGCTCTATTGGAAGCATCATAACACATTCGGGGGGCCACCTCGACATCCAAACCTCTCAACCTACAAACAGTTATCATGTGGGAGCATGGCAAGTGATGGAGCTGAGGGAACTGACAGGTGCATGTGTTATCTCTTGCAACCACAACGTAGTGGCGTCCACCCCATTGCACCCCAACCACCATGACTCCGCCTTGCTCGCTAACCTCATACTTCATTGAAGGGAATCGAAACATGCTGTTTTTTGCTCCAAAGTTCGTCTTTGTTGCTCCTCCAATATGTCCTTAACTTTTGTGGGCCACTTCTTTCCACTCAGGATATCTACAGTTGCCTCTTTGTGTCTATCAACAAACCAACTATTGCACTTCGAAAATGTGTATGCCACAATAGCTGTAACCGGCAGTTTTCGAATGCCTCGCAAGACATTATTGAAACTCTCGGCCATATTACTGGTCATGATGCTGTGCTGACGCCCGTTGGTATCAAATGCTCTTGCCCATTTGACCTTATGTGCCATATGGTCTTCTAGCCACTTCTTTGGCCTCTCTCCGACCACACCCAAGAGGCATTTTATCTCACCTAGGAACAATGCTTTCTCATTTATTTAACATATGCACTCGAGATCTTTCATCTGATCCGTCGTAGCTCCAGCTGTGCAGAAGTTAGCACATAAGTGCCTCATGCACCACCTGTGGTGAATGGTTAGGTGCTGAGGCATGCGGAGGTTGATGGAGTTCAAAATGCCAGGGTGTCTATAAGAAATTATGCACACTTCTCTATTAGGACCGATCAGTTGTTTCTCAACATGTTGATGAACCACTCCCAGTTGGATGTATTCTCCTTCTCTACCAGAGCAAACGCCGAAGGAACAAGATGTAACCCTGCGTCGACCCCTATTGTCGTGAGCAATGTACCTTAGTATTTACCGGTTAAGAAAGTCCCATCAATTGCTAGCACCAGCCTCAAGTGCTTGAATGCCTCTATGGACTGTCCAAATATCCAATATGCACGTCCAAATACTCGCCTCTGCACTCCCTCCACCATCCTTGACTTCTCGGGGTGAGCCTCAACACTGAAATGCATGGTAGGGTTCTTTGCTTTGATGGCACGTAGCAGTGTAGGCAAGCGAACATATGCCTCGTCCCAATCTCCCCAAATGACCTTCATAGCAACTTGCTTAGCATGCCAAGCTTTGCATACGTAGGCTGATAGTGCCAGATTTGCTCAACTGCCTCGACAATAGCTGCAGGAGACAAAGTTGGTTCAGCTCGGGCAAATACCTGTAACCTGTTTCCAATAAACCCCGAAGTAAGTTGCAAATGCTTGTCGGTTGCTTCCGCACTACAGCATGTGTGGTCTTCCCCCACCCTAGTCATCCGCCACCTATCTCCTCCACTCTTCCTTGCATTAATCTGCCATTTGCAATGGCGATCGAGACAAGCCACAGTATACTTTACTGACGCGTTAGATTCCTTCACATGGTAAGGGCGGTGGACACGGATAGAATAACTTTGCAACCATATTTTCAGGTCTTCCATCGATCGAAACTCCAACTCCTTCCTTGGTTCGTCATACATCGGCTCGAAGGCATCGTCATATTCTAGATCCCCGTCTGCAATTGCTAGCCCGGATCTGGTAAGATCCTGGAATTGTGTTATTTCCGGGTTTCTACCGACCAATTTCTCAAACACAGTCCTTTCTTGCTCCGACATCTTGGCCACTGGACGATCATCATCGGAGTCGGAAGCAGACTCATCCAATTCATCCTCTGTATCATAATCCAACCAGCCTGGGTTCAATCCACTGCTTATCATAGCCTTCTCACAATCCTATCGGCTATACACTTTTGTCCTAACCAACTCCCTAAAGCCCATACTTACATCCTTAGCATTAGCTTCTTCATCAGATAACTCCTCATCCTCTCCTACCTCCCGACCATCCTCAACATGTCCTTCCGCTCTTACCTCTACATCCTATTCACCATTTACTCCCTCTCTTACCTTCTCTACATTTACTTCCTCCCTTAATGGCACATTCTCCTCTGCACGTACTTCCTCCCTTACCGGCACATTCTCCTCTCCATGCAATTCCTCCCTCACCTCCACATCCTCCCCACCATGTACTCCCTCGCTCACCTCCACGTCTTCCTCAAATAATTCTTCCTTCCGATTACACGCATTCGAGTGTTCGTGAGAACTAATGGGTAATTCTATGAGTGGACTTTCATTCAGGTCTATAAGTTCTTTCTTCCCTATCCTACCATCTTTCTTCCATGCAAATAGCTCAAGAGATTTGAAATGTGACCCTAATACTATATCTATATATGTTTGCCATTTGATCTCTCCATTCAAGTCTAACATAAACTTATGTGATATGACACCGCCGCCCACATCGTATCTCCCTTGCATACCAGCCAACTCATCACTCCAATCCAATTCATGCTTGATGCGAGACATTAACTCCTCAAAGGTAGGCTTCACAAAAAACACTAATTGTCTAACAGTCATTCTCTCAAATTAGCTTCCATGTGTACTTTCATCTACCACACAACCATCATAATGAAGCCGGACCAATCTATCCATCTACAATTTTTAACCCATACATAATCATTAATTACTTGAAAGTAGTTTGTAATTACCATTGCAATACCAATACTTCAAAAGCTAACAACATGTCAAATTTTTTCAATAAATAAATACCTTACTCAAATACTACACATTATTGATAAAAAAATCTCTACTCCTACAAATTACCTACCCATCACCACACATCAACCCCTTTCAAACCCTCTCAATCACCACAAATCCATCCCACACCCTAGACCATCACCACACATCCATCTCCCATCAAACCCTAGTGCATCAACAAACATCCATCCCAAATATATTTTCTCAAATGTATCAACAACAACCAAATGGATAAAGATATGACGCCTCTACACTTCATCCCCACCCACATTATCCATCTAATAATCCATCCTTAGCCAACTATTATCAAACCACGTCTACGACCAAAACAATGCAAAATATTCAATAAAACTTTGGGGAACTTAGGGTTTACAGATGGGTTTACCTTCTCTTCTGATCCCCAACTCAATGCCGCACAAATCACCTTCGATTAGAGAGGTTTTTGGGGGAGATTGGGCGAGGAGAACGCGGTGGCGACCGAACCCTAGGCGGGCAGCTGGGGAAGAAGAGAGGAAGAACTGGCTGGGGTGGCCTCGGCCGGGCTCTAAGTAGCCAAGGTCAGCGCCAACTTAGCGTTGAGGTTGGGCACCTCAGCGCCGAAGCGGTTGACGTTGAGATACCTGACACGTCGGCTGGGGGATCGGCCCGGCCGCCACGATGGCACGAGGTCAGCGTTAGACCCGTTGGCGCTGAAGCGCCCAACCTCAGCGCCAAAAGCATTAGTGCTGGGCCGACGATCTATTTTTGAAGTTTTTGCCAGGGTTAGTTTCGAAATAAGTTTTTGAAAAGGGTCAATTTGTAAAAAAAAAAGGTGCGGACGCGTGCAGTGGGGCCTGGGCGGCAGCGGCGCGAGGCTCCCCCGCATGGGCCGCCCCGGGCGGGAGGATTTTCCGTGTACCTGACGCCACAACAAAGTCGGACATCAATCCGACGCGGGCGTCGTACGTACGTACAGTACTCCTACCAACGTACCACGAGAACAGGGCAGCCGCACAGGCGCACGGCGCACACCACAGCGAGCACTGTGGCGCACGGCGGTCCTGTCATACGGACGCGCGGAACACATGTTGGTCACACATGACACACCGACACGACCGGCCACACGCCGCGAAAGGGAAAAAAGAAAAAAAGGGAAGCCAGGCGACCGGCCGACGGCCGACGCTGGCCGTGGAGGGGAATCTGTTAAGTATCTTCCCGGCTCGTTGATTCATCAGTTAATCCCGGCCCATCAGTGCTTATCCCCTGCCTCTGACACTCCCTTTTGGCTGCACCTACTTGCTTAATCACAAGCTAACCTCTACCCCTAACCTAACTAAGGTCCCTAATCCATCTTTAATGGCAGTAATCACTCCCCTAACTGACCTTAACCTCTTCCTCCTCATCATCAAAGCACACATCCCCCCCACCAATCCCAAATGAGCCAAAAGAAGCAGCAAGTGAACTCTAATCCACCCACACACCACACTCCCCGCACTCACGCTAGTCTAGTATAGTACCCCCAAAGCTCATCATCATCACCACCACCTTTCCTCCTCCTCCCCCCATTGCTTCGTCTCGCGCCGGATCGATCCAGCTGCCGCCGCGTTCCGATCCCCTCTGCTCTGGCTTGCTGATAGATCGATCGATCGATGAAGCCCGCCGGTGGGAGGAGCAAGGACGGCGGCGGCGGCGGGGCGGCATTGCTCGGCGGCGGCGGCGTCACCTGCTTCGACGTCAAGTCCTTCGTCGCCTCCCTCGCGCTCCTCACCCTCATCATGGCGCTCTGGCAGCTCCACCCCTACCAGCCCCTCGTCCTCCTCCCCGCCGCCCTCTCCTCCTCCCCATGCCCCCTCCTCCCCCGCTCACCCACCTCTGGTATTGCCGTTTCCTTCCTCTCCACCGCCGCTGCCACCAACTCGACTGACACCGCCACGGTCCCAACCACCACCGCCGCCGCGAGGGTGGCGGCGACGACGAGGCCGACCCTGCCCGCGCGGCAGCGGGAGCGGGACCCAAACAAGCGGGAGCTCCGTCCGTACGGCACGGCGGCGGCGCTGTTCGTCCAGATGGGCGCGTACCGGGGCGGCCCGCGCACGTTCGCCGTCGTCGGGCTGGCATCCAAGCCAGCGCACGTCTTCAGCAACCCTTACTTCAAGTGCGAGTGGCTGCCCAACGCTCCCGCCGGCGCGCCGCCGGTCCGGACCAAGGCCTACAAGATGCTCCCGGACTGGGGCTACGGCCGCGTCTACACCGTCGTCGTCGTCAACTGCACCTTCCCCTCCAACCCCAACGCCGACAACCTCGGCGGTAAGCTCCTCGTCCACGCCTACTACTCCACCGCCTCCCGCCGCTACGAGCGCTTCGTCGCCCTCGAGGAGGCACCGGGCTCCTACGACGACGCCCGATTCCGGCCACCCTTCGCTTACGACTACCTCTACTGCGGCTCATCCCTCTACGGCAACCTAAGCTCCGCCCGCATGCGGGAGTGGCTCGCCTACCACGCCCGCTTCTTCGGGCCGAGGTCCCACTTCGTCCTCCACGACGCCGGCGGCGTGACACCGGAGGTGAGGGCGGTGCTGGATCCGTGGGTCAGCGCCGGCCGCGTCACCGTCCAGGACATCAGGGCGCAGGAGGATTACGATGGCTACTACTACAACCAGTTCCTCGTCGTCAACGACTGCCTCCACCGCTACCGGCACGCCGCGAACTGGACCTTCTTCTTCGACGTCGACGAGTACATCTACCTCCCCGACGGCCGCGCGCTGGAGGACGTGCTCGCCCAGCTCCAGCCCTACACGCAGTTCACCATCGAGCAGAACCCCATGTCCAGCAAGCTCTGCATCGATGATCCGACCGAGGACTACTCGAGGTTTGCATCTTTTTTCTTGCCTAATTTTGCATTTCCCTATGTTAATTGTAGGTCCAATTGTTTATGCCATGCTATTTCAGTGGGAATCCAACTAGATTCGCGCAATAGATTTACAATACTGCAATTGGCATATGAAATTTGTTCTTTCCTTGAGGGCTTGGTATTCTTTGTAGAGATAAGTAAGTGCCACAAACGTAGTAGTACATTGCTTCTCCAGTCATTGTCAATTTGTTATTAATCAATCCGAACAGCATATACTTGAAACAGCTATAAGAGAATAGAGTCAAGAGACAAGTATTTGTTTATGTAGTAGGTTGTTTGGGCAGTGTGAGTGTGTGACTCCCTTGGTTCCTGCATGATTGAAGGCACTTTGGCCCTGCACCCTGGTCCATTGCTGTAACATATTTGTTGGATTTCCTGAATTGAACTAATGCCGGGAATTGGGGTTCTGTCATTTGCTTTGCATCAAGGAGATTGTCTCTACATTTCATTCTTACTTCAAATGGGCGTTACCACTTACCAATAAGGATAATTCATGCCTAGATGGATGATATATAAGTAGAGTACTATGAAAATGACAAGTCTATGTGAAGAATATGGATGTTATAAACCACTAGTATTTTGATGAAAAATAGAAATCCGTTGAAAAACAATCTGGTTGGATCTTTGGAAAGAGAAGGGGTGTGGCACCCAGTTGGGAATACTTCTGTTGAGCTGGAAGAGCATGGGTTGATGAGTGCATGACTGGTAGGGAACTCACAATAAACCTGATGATCATTTCTGTGTTATTCCAACGGCTACAGTTCCATTCTTGCTGTATAGTTTTACAACCGCTCAAGCAAGGCATCACAGGTGTGAGATAATGCTGGTGGGGGAGAAATGAGAAACTTCCTCACAACCATAGTGTTTCCCACTTCTGTAGGCCTATCATTCTGTTGAGAACAGAAATTGATTTATTTGTTGGTGATGAGACAACAAAAGCTGCTACTCATCCATTTTCCCAAGTATTTACTAAAATATTTTATTTACTTAGTGGCAATAAAAGCTTCTCACCTTTTTTTTTTCTTTGTTGAACCTCAGAGTAGTCTTATGAACTTCTCTGTTATCTGTCTTAGATAGCTGTGATTTTTCTTTCAGACATAGCATTTTTGTAACAAAGGGTTGTAACCCGATAAGAATGAACCCAAGTACCCAACCAGCAAGGGTAATTGCCATGGTTCTTGTTGATGTCAAAAGTCAAGACAATAATGAGTATGATTGTGTGATTTTGTACTTTTGTAGCTCAATGTCTTTGTAGTTTACAGTGACAGTAGTTTCAATTAGAAACTACTGCCTGTGGCTGTTTGTCAGTTTTGAGTTAGCACATCATTTCACGAGCAAAGAATCTCTGCATCAGTGCATTTAAGGTAGAGGGTTATTTGTGTCTCCTTTGGCCTTGATTCTTGATGTTTATTCTGATGGTGCCATTGCTGACACATGTTATATGTCATTGGTCTTCAGGGAATGGGGCTTTGAGAAACTTGTCTTCCGCAATTCAATTACCGGAGTGAGGCGTGATCGGAAATATGCAATCCAAGCACGGAATGCATACTCCACTGGTGTGCACATGTCGCAAAATGTGTATGGGAGGACAACTCACAAGACAGAAAGCTTGATAAGATACTACCACTATCATAATTCTATCAATGTCATGGGGGAGCCCTGCCGGAAATTCGTGCCGAAACCCGCCAATGGCAGTAAGGTAATGTTCGAGGGGATACCCTACGTCTACGATGATAACATGAAGCGCTTGGCAGGGGAGATCAGACGCTTTGAGAAGCAGACGATTGGGGATGTCCATACATAGCATCTGGATGCAAAACTTTGCTGGTACATATATGATTTTATTCTTTCGGACGCCGTCGGCGGTGTCCACCTGTTGCCGTCTGTTCTGTGCTTCAAGCCGCAACTCTGAGAATCAGAGGGAGAGGATCTAACTCCAGTGTCCAAGCAGCGCTGTAAAGTTATGGTTCTCTTCAGCATTCTCCTCTTCGTGCAGGGGGCAACACGCCTTTGTGGCTCAATATCCTTTCTTTCCTTTGTTCCTTTCCCTTCTTCTCCCTAGTGTTGTGCTCCAATCTCTTTATAGATTTGTGCTTATTAGACTGACAGTGTGCCTTCATCAGATTCTTCTCATCTCTTATTGGGGGCATTGTAAAGTTTGTCTCATTGTCTGCTAACTTAATGGAAGGTTGGATCTTATATAGTACTAGTATATGTGTGCAACAATTGTTCAAAGTGCATAAAGAGGGAGAATCATTTTCGTTTTGATTTTTGACAGTGGGGTTGAAGATAATGCGCAATGCATCTTGTGCCACGTTGACAAAAAAGTGTCGGAAGAAGAGTTCAATTGAGAATGTTGATGGTGTGTGGTCTTTGTGGTGATGTGAGAAGAGGGGGGGCAGCATGCGTTAGGCGCGGTGTTGCACTCGGTGCTGCAGTGCTCGTTATGGCAGGGAAGGAGGATGAGCGGATGATGCGCCGATGGTGAGGGTGGATGGAATGGAATTGGAAGGTGAGGACGGTGACGGCGTGACGCCGGGTTTTATGGCGTGGACATGGACGGGGTAGCTGCTCCTTGGGATCTGCTCCACCAAACACTGGTGTCCGCTTATCTCGCCGTTTTTGGGTGATCGATATGACGGTCCAGACGAGCATAGCACACGCGAAGAGATCATGCAAGGTCAAGACACGAGGGACGAACTCGCACAGGGCCTGGGCTTCTTGTTGAGCTGAAGCTTCCTGCTTCCTATATCGTCATCTGGTATATCATGCCAGATGATCGATGACTAAATTTATCGAGAAGGTTAGTCGTCGTTTCGCTATATCGATTAACTTTTGTAACAGTTAGAGCGCACGGAGCAAAGTCAGGCTGTCCCAATAGCAGCTGCTCCGCTAGGGACCTCTATCTCTCGCTGCTATCGTTGAGATCGAGCTAAGCTAGATTTTGTCATCGTAACAGCACATGGCGTCATGGCCATCAACGATACTGACGAGTGACGACATAGACATCTATCTCCAAATGTTCATATCCCAAGATTGTGAGACACAAAGTACAAATTTAGGCTCCATATACTTTTGTACTAACTTTACGAAATTACTAATCACAAATTTGTACATACACACTAGTACATCATTAGTTTAGTTTACAAATTCCCAAAAGAACCAGAGGAACTTAATCTAATCACCATTATACAATAGCTAACTACTTATTAGCATGAGCAAGAGAAGCCATGACCATTCGGCCGCCGTCGCCATCGTCGTCGTTGAGGTCCTAGCTCGATCAAGCTGAACCCGTGACGGCGGCGGCGGCTGATCGGTCGCCGCGCAGCGGCACGGCGGTGGCCTTGAGCGGCCGCTTCATGACGACGGTGAACTGGAGCTTCTGGGTGAGGTCGACCTCGTCGCCGGCGACCTCGCGCCACTCGAACTCCCTGACGAGGTTGGCGACGAAGTACTCGAGGTGGAGCAGCGCCAGCGCCATGCCGGGGCAGATCCTCCGGCCGGCGCCGAACGGCATCATCTTGATCTCCTTGCTGCCGGTGAGGTCCACGTCCTCGCCCTCGCCGCCGGCGAGGAACCGCTCGGGCCGGAACACCTCCGGCGAGGTCCAGACCTCGCTGTCGAGGCCGATCTCCCCCACCGCGAAGTTCACCGGCGTGTTCGCCGGCACGCGGTACCCGTCCAGCGTCGTCTCCTCCTCCACGGTGTGGGGGAGCAGGAAGTGGTCCGGGGGATGTCGCCGGAGACCTTCCAGCACCACCGCCTTGAGGTATGGCATCGCCTGGAGATCCTCCTCCCTCACCTCGCCGTCGACGGCGGCGGCGGTGATCTCCTCCCTGAGCTTGTCCTGCATCGCCGGGTTCTTGACGAGGTTGGCCAGTATCCACTGCAGCGCGGTGGCCGTGGTGTCGGTGCCGGCGCTCATGAACTCGGAGCAGAGGCTGACGATCTCGACGTCGGTGAGCCCCCTCCCGCCGTCCTCCGGGATGGTGAGCTTCACGAGGGAGTCAACGTAGCAGTCACCGCCGGCGCCGGCCTCCCTCCTGGCGCGTATGAGCGGGGCGAAGAGCTCCTCCTGCCGCCGCCGCAGCGACACCAGCTTGTTCCACCGCCTCCGGAACACGAGCCTGGTGATCGGCGGGAGGAAGGCGAAGACCTCGAAGCTGAGGAAGTTCGAGAGGAGCTCGCGCTGCAGCGCCTCGATCTCCCTCACCCGCGCGTCGCCGGGGCGGTCGCCGAAGCACATGTACACGAGGAGGCAGAACATCGCGTACTGGAACGGCTCCATCACGGTCAACGGAGCACCGCCCTCGCCGCGGATGTGGGAGACGAGGGCGTCGAGCACCCAGCGGCGCGCGTCGGAGAACGCGCGGAGGCGGGCCGGGTTGAGCACGCCGGAGGAGATGCACCGCCGGAGGGCCCTCCAGATGGGGCCGTGCTGCGCCGAGCTCACGTTCCGGCCGCCGCTGGTGAGCAGCACGGACGCCGGGCTGACGCCGCGCGGGCGCGACGCGAACGCCGCCCCGCGCTGCACCAGCGCGCGGTGCGCCGGGCCACGCGCCGCCACGAAGATCGTCGGCCGGGACGGCCCCAGCGGCGCGAACGTGAACACCGGCCCGTGCTCCGCCGCGATCCGCCGCAGCGTCGGCTCGACGTCGAAATCCCTCCGCGCGAGGAACAGCAGCGGGCCCAGCACCGGCACCGTCCTCGGCCCCGGCGGCAGCGGCGCCACCTCCACCGCCGCCGCCGACGCGCGGGCGCGCAGCAGCAGCGAGCACGCGAGGCATAGCAGCAAGGTCAGCGAGTAGAAGATCCAGTCCTCCATGGCTAAGCCTCAGAGTGACAGAAAACAGAGTGATAAATCTGTCACTTTTTATTTACCATTCATCTTTGTTTAAAATTCGTGCTGCATTTGAATTGAGCAAAGTCACGCACGGCTGTGGACTTTGAGATGGACCGGGCTTTTGTTACTTGTTGTGTTCTGTGGGTCCCACTTATTTACTATTTAACTAGCATGGTGGCTCGCGCAGATTGCGTGGTAACATCATTATATTTTCTCTCGTATAATAGCATATATGTTTTCTTACCGTATTATTCAAATATATTAAAATGACAACATAATTTTAAATTTTGTACTTTTGTACTAACTTTACGAAACTACTAATGTGTAATATTCATATTGTATTTTATATACGTGTTAGTTATTAATTATTTTTAATATTAAATTTTAGTTATTTGTAAATTATATTCTTATATGGACTCTAGACTCGTCTTTCAATTTTTTTTTAGTTCCAAATTTTCATTATCTGTAAATTTTATTTCTATAAAGACTCCAATTTCTTCTTCCAATATTATTTATTTTTAATTCTAAGATTTTTATTATTTCTAATTGTATTTTTTATGTGGATTCTAAACTCATCTTTCAATATTCTTTAATTTTTAATTTCAAATTTAAGTTACTTCTTAAATTGTATTCCTATATTAACTTTAGACTCTTTATTCCCATGTTTTGTTTAAATTCCGAATTTTAGTTATTTATAAATTATATTTTTATACGGACTCTAAACTGTACTTTTAATTTTATTATATTTATTCCGAATTTTAGTTAGTTTTAAATTCCTATATGGACTCTATACTCTATTTCTAAAATTCCTTATTTTTAATTCCGAATTTCTATTATTTCTTAATTTTATTTCTATATGGACTCTATACTCTTCTTCCAATATTCTTTATTTTTATTTTCCGAATTTCAGTTATTTATAAATTGTATTTCTATATGGACTCTAGTGTCCTCTTCCAGTATTTCTTATTTTTTTAATTCCGAATTTCTATTATTTCTTAATTGTATTTCTATATGGACTCTATACTTTTCTTCTAATATTATTTATTTTTTAATTCCAAATTTCAGTTATTTATAAATTGCATTTTTATATGGACTCTAGTCTACTCTTCCAATATTCCTTATTTTTAATTCCGAATTTCAACTCTTTCTAAACTGTATTTGTATATGGACTCTAGTCTTCTTTTCCAATATTTCTTATTTTTTAATTCCGACGAATTTCAACTATTTCTAAATTGTATTTCTATATGGACTCTAGTCTAGTCTTCCAATATTCATTATTTTTAATTGCGAATTTCAACTTTTTCTAAATTGTATTTCTATATGGACTCTCTAGTCTCCTATTTCAATATTCCTTATTTTTTTAATTCCGAATTTCAACTCTTTCTAAATTGTATTTCTATATGAACTAGTCTTCTCTTCCAATATTCCCTATTTTTTAATTCCGAATTTTAACTATTTCTAAATTGTATTTCTATATGGACTCTGTGTTTTTTTTTCTCCGATTAATGTGGGAATTTCTAGGCTATGAGAGCGAACGTGGAGGATTCTTTTTCTATTCCTTTAATAAGTTAATAGATTTCGAAACACACGCCTATTTTTTTTCCTTGCATTTGAGTAGTGTTTTCTATTGCTACTTTGTTTATGATCCCACGCTTACTAATTACATCGCACTTACACTATAATTCCATATATAATTTTGTGACTTGCATCTTAAATATACTAAAATTATATATGTAATTTTAGGAACTTACAGTGTAAATACATTTCTACATGTCAACTTTCTTTTTTGTTGAATATTATGACGTCATATTATAGTTACTCCCTAAATTTAATAGATGAGATTAAATTTGGCTGTTAGATGTTTATCCTATTGCTTGAAAAATCTGCATGGTAGGAGGCTAGAAAATCTGTCACATGATGTACAGGCGGTCCCTTTTTTTTTTCCACGCCCGGCTGTTCACAGCGGAAGAATATACACAGGGAGGGGAAAAAGTTTATTTTTTTATGCTAGAAAAGATACCGTGTTGCAACGGGATAACCTAAAATTAAATATAATCAGATGGTCATAGTTTATTTTGTGATGTGAGAACTTTAAGAAACACATTCTTCATGGAATGTTCCAGTGCGTTAATGTATTCACCTAACCTCACCGTATCGAATGAGAAGGGAGGAAATGCAAAGACGTTAAGGAGAGAAATAGCGTCGTCTGTATATGGCTAAGCGAGAAGATCATGTGATAGAAGAGAGACAAGGTGGTTATTTGTCGGCAGATGGAGTTAGCACCATATGTGGAGAGAGCAAGATGAGAGAAGAATATGACGGTGATAAGCGGGAATGTGTCAACGACAGAAGAAAGACGTACCAGAAATTAAGAAAACCAAAAAAAAGGGAAAAATCTCTGCTATTTTTTTTTGAAAAAATCATTATTACATATGCAACCAGACAATCAGTGAAAGAAAAATAATCAATAGCTAAAAGAGGTTCAGTGAAAAAAATGCATAACACAAAGTCACTGAAAAATGCATATGTTGACAAAATAATCAATTGGTGAATACATAGAATAAAACAAACAATAAAAAATCGATTTTGCTATATCTCACTCGAAAGATTTTTTCTTATCTCTCACTTGATTTTCTCACTCAATTTTATAGTGTATTTTTCTTTTAAGTTACAGTGTAATTTATGAAACTTACATTGTAACTTCTGTAAGTTATATTGTAATTTTTAAATCTTCGCATGCAATTTTTAAAATTTATATTGGATTTGATCTTTTTCTTGAAGATATAGTAATAAGTATCCATTGTAGTGTTTCTTTGTTGCTTTTTGGGACACAACTCTGGTTCGGGCGCTGACATCAACATGACGTCAGCGTCCGATTTACGTGTAAAACTACCTAAAATTGATTTTTCTCTTAAATTACTTATCCAAATCATGATCCGATTGCACCATTAAATTCGTTGCAATTAAATCTTCAAAATAAGGCTATACATGGATATATTCCGATAAAATTTCTTTTAGCTTATTATTGAATTATTTTTAAATGTTGCATGATGTTCCACCAGGTATATCAAAATTGTTTCACTAAGTAGATCGAAAATGTTTCACTCATTTAAATCAGGTGTTGTTTCACCTTATATAAAAACAATGTTTCAGAAAATAGCGAAAGAATGTTTAAGTTCACTACAACATTTGATCCATACATAGTGAAACATTATAAGTACACTAGGTGAAACTTTTTTTGGTGGAACAAAAAATTAAACGAATTCCCTTAATAGGGGGTTTCCAAAATATATGGGTTTTTTTATTGCAATGGAATATTTCAGTTCACTGTAACATTAGATCTATACATAGTGAAACAATATGAGTGCACTAGGTGAAACATTTTGTGTAGAACAAAAAATAAACCAAATTCCCTTAATAGAGGGTTTCCATAATATGCGCGTGATTTGTTGCAATGACGCGTTCCATAATATCAAAATTCACTGCAACATTTGATCCGTACATAGTGAAACATCGCGAGTACACTAGCTGAAACATCGTAAAACTACTAGTTGAAACATAAAAAGAGATCATATGCAACATTAAAAAAATATCAATAAAAAGCTAAAATATTTCTTTTATCGAAATATAATCATGTGTGGTCTTGTTATAAAGATTTAATTGCAACGAATACAACGGCGTGATCAGATCGTAGATTGGATAATTAGTTTAGGAGAAAAATCGTTTTATAACTATTTAAAGTAGGAGCGGCGGGAGGCGCGGGTGCCCGAGCGTCCGATTTTTTCTTCTGCCGTCGGGCGCCTGGCGCGCAGCATTTCCATGCTTTTTGTCTTTTACTGTGTCTATTGTATTTTAATCCAAAGAAAAAAAATCTATGTGATATGATTATAAAAATCTTTCGAAAAATACATGGTTACTCCCATAGAAAATCCATTAGGCCATTCGGCTTAGGTGGGGCATGGCTTGCCGAGGCAGCAAGAGCCCAACAAGCATATCTGCATATGGCCTAGCCGGTGGTGGCCCAAAGCCCAAGAAGCATACACGTGTGTATCACCGAGAGGAACGCGTGGGTTGGTAGTGGGAGCGTGGCTGCGACACGATGACGGATAAAATTAATCGGATGACGTACGAAATTTACTTGGATAAAAATTGAATTTTTATAATAGTAGAGATAGAGAAATGCATGATCAATCCCTAAACTTACGTGGTGTCACCTAGATCCGTAAACTTGGTTTAATATACGGGTATGACTGATATGTGCCCATCCGCGCGCCGCGTGTGACACGTGCACTAAATGCCAAAAAACTGCCTTTTAGTCTCCCATCTCATCTCTTTTTATACGTATATATATGTATGTATATACTTTTTATATATATATGTATAAACTTTAATGTATGTATATGTATGTATATACTTTTTATATATGTATGTATGTAAAATATATACATATGTATATATAGTATATGTGTATATTTTTTTAATATGTACACACTTTCTATGTATAAAAATTATATACATATATTTAAAGTTGTATACATATGTATACGTATACGGACTTTGTATACTGTATATATGAATTTTGTATATGTACATATAAAACTTTATATACTTACATAATAAAATAATCAAAAATACTAAAAAAATTACAAATACAAAGTTTGTATATGTGTATAAACTTTGTATCCGGTACGTATAAAAAAATCAAAAATAAAAATCTGAAAAAACAAGTTCTGCTCGTCGGCTGAAGTGTGATCTGCTACATGTGCATGTGAAGGAGAAGGATGAGCAGCAACTACACCAGACACCACCATGTACGTTCCCATCCTTTTTTTTGAAAACCAGGGGATATTATTAAAACTTAAAAACAGAGTACATAGTTGATCGTACAGTTAAGAGATCTGAAGTTATCATTCAGAAGTCTAGCATAAAAACTTCTATGAGGATAAGCAGAATGCTCAATGTTTTGACAATTTTGGATAAAGTTCCTCCTGGTACCGGACTTGGCTTCCTTCGCTAATTTGTCGGCCATCTTGTTAACTTCTCTTGGAACCCATCGAACCTGTATAAGATCAATTGAAGTGGAAGAGATAATTTGGGTCCACAAAGGCCTTAAACTCCAGTGACCTGGCTCCTCTAGAAAATTTCTCCTTTTTGCAGTATCAGCAATGGTGGAGTTATCCGTTAGAAAAGTGGTACCTGCAATGTGAAGAAATTGGGAAATTTCCAAAGCTAATTGGAGAGCTAACAGTTCAGCCTGAAGGGC